GTCTGCTACTGCTCCACAAACGGTCGACCGTTCCCCTCATACATCTACCCACGGTCGACCGTCTCCTCACACCCGTTCTGAACCTCTACAGACGGTTCACCACATGGACCGTTCCCCACCCCACGGTCGACCGTCCTCCCAACCCCTCTCTGAATCTCTACAGACGGTCGATACTATTACCCGTCCACCCCCACACGGTCGACCGTCGACAGCACTGATCCCCACAACAAATGCCCATCCCATGCAAACCCGTGCCAAATCAGGCATTTTCAAGCCTAAAACCTATACTGCTACCACCACTGATACCTCTCCTCCTACCTCTGAACCTCACACCTATCACCAAGCCTCCAAGAATAGCTATTGGTGTCATGCCATGGATGAAGAATTTGCAGCTCTGAATGAACAGCGCACATGGGATTTGGTGCCCCTACCCAAGGGCCGAGATCCTATTGGTTGCAAGTGGGTGTATCGCATAAAACGGAACCGGATGGCTCCGTCTCTCGGTACAAGGCTCGTCTAGTGGCCAAAGGGTACCATCAAGAGTATGGCATCGATTATAAAGAGACGTTCAGCCCGGTTGTCAAGCAGCAAACCATTCGTCTGTTACTCACTCTTGCTCTACACTATGATTGGCCTCTTCATCAGCTTCATGTTACCAATGCCTTTCTCCATGGTACACTCGATGAGGATATTTATATGTCTCAACCACCGGGCTACGTCAATCCCAATAGGCCTGAGTTTGTTTGCAAGCTGCGCAAATCTCTGTATGGCCTTAAACAGGCTCCTCGTGCTTGGTACACTTGTTTTGCTACTTTTTTGCAGGGACTTGGCTCCCAGTGTTGTCGTCATGACACCAGTCTGTTCACTTTTCACAGCTCCCGCGGCATGGTCATTGTTCTCCTATATGTTGATGACATCATTATTACAGGGAGTTCCTCTGACCTCATCTCTGCTGTTACTCAGGCTATGCATAAAAATTTTCGCCTCAAAGACTTGGGCCCCCTGGATTTCTTTCTTGGCATTGAGGTTCGTCGCTCTGCGGATTCTATCTTGCTTCATCAGACAAAATACATATTTGATCTTCTTCAGCGGGCTGGCATGACTGATTGCAAACCCACTGTCACTCCGATGGCGGCGCGGCCAACCCAGGAGATCTCGTCCACCTTCTCCGACCCAAAATTGTTTCGTAGCCTTGTGGGTGGTCTACACTATCTTGCGGTGACTCGCCCTGATATTCAGTATGCTGTAAATCGAGTTTCTCAGACCATGCATAATCCTACAGAGAAGGATTACTTTGCCCTTAAACGTATTCTTCGCTACTTGAAGGGTACTTCTTCTCATGGCCTTCTGTTCAGAAAAGGCTATCTTGATCTTGCTGTTTATTCTGACTCTGACTGGGCTAACGACAAAGATGATCGTTGTTCCACCACTGGGTATCTCCTTATGCTGGGGCCGAATCTTATCTCATGGTGCACAAAAAAACAGACTCGCGTCTCGCGCTCCTCCACCGAAGCTGAGTATCGTGCTATGGCCGCGGGGGTGGCAGAGGCGATGTGGCTTCGTTATATTATGGATTCTCTGCATGTTCCGCCTACGAAACCTAAGATTTATTGTGATAATGAGTCCACAATCTATGTCACCAAGAATCCCGTTCTCCATGATCGCATGAACCATGTTGGCTCTGACTGTCACTTTGTTCGAGACGAGGTTATGGTTGGCACTATGACTACACATCATGTTCCTTCTTCTGAGCAGCTTGCTGACATCTTGACAAAACCGCTTCCGCCGACTCCGTTCCATTATTTGTGTTCCAAGCTGCCCCTCGTATCCGTTGATCAGCTTGCGGGGGGATAATAGGAAGACTCCTAATATTATTTAGTTTCCTTATTCTTGTATTACCATAATTACTTTATTCATTTCCTACTAGGAATAGGACACTCTCTTGTAATCCCTATATATAGGAACATATTTCTCAATATTCAATAAGACAAATTATTATCAAATTGTATCATCCATAAACTTTTACACTTTCCCATAAAGTATTTATTTAAGTTACACTTTCCCATAAAGTATTTATTTAAGTTACACTTTTTCATAAATTTTTTTACTCTTTCTTAAAAACTTTTACACTTTCCCATAAAGTAATATTAAAAACAAAAATGAAGTCAATTCACAACACAACCACCTAGAAACAGTTTAGAGCTCTCGGCTAAGACACAAATGGTAAATTAACGAATGCACTATATCTCTGCAGTTGCTCTTGGAAGGACGGGACACATGGGGGAGATACATCATGCAGGCAATTGTGATTGTGTTTTGATGGATAGCCTTGTCACCCCAGTTGTCTGATACATATTAACGAATAAATAGACACTAAATGAGTAATTTCACCACTGATTAACATTACAGAGAAATAGTAAAACGAATCAAATCAGCGAAATCAAGAGAGGAATAGATAGAGAGACTCACAAGTTTAATTAGGGATAGGAGAACATACGAAGTATAAACATCATCCAATCAAGTATGAATTTATCTACATTAGTCATATGGCAAATCTTTATGTATTCATTTCAACCAAAATATGTAGAAAAACCAAATAGGTAAGAGGTGTTTATTATCAAACTTCTGGAGGCATATTAAATGTATGTTACAGGTCTATACATTCTCCAAGGACAGTATAGTACTCCGTGTCACTCATTTTTCATCATCTTCAGTTAATACTCCCATAGTATAGATAATGTTTTGAAACCAACATAACACATACTCGAAGTAGACAAATATTGGTTTTCCCCTTTATTTTCCATAACAATAATTTAAAAAGAAAGATAAGAAGATGAAGATGAAGAACTAATGGTTTTGAAAGTGGGAATATAATCTTGAAAGAAATTATGTAGTGCTTTTTTTCTCTCATTCCTATAAAGTAAAACTGACCTTTTTCCACTCTTTAGCACTATTTGTAAATCATAATCTAAGCCAAACTTGCAGTCTTAGCTGTGACCAAAGGCCATAACCAAAAAAAGCCCCTAATCTTCCTGATAATAACATATCCAGTTTTCTAGCCTTGGCCAAGATGAAAGAACCAATACCTAAAACTTGTAACCCGCAGCTAGGTAGTAAGCCAAATGCAAAGTGTAGAATACACCCAGGACTCCGACTCGACCCTATGACCCAAAAAGGCATTAGCAGATGCAAAGCATACACTATGAAAAAGAAATATCAATGACAGTTTATACTCTACATTAACATCACATATGGATTAATGATTAAATATATAGTAATTTTTTGAAGAGTGATTGATGTGCCTATGCGTGGTTGATTCATCATTTTTTTGCTGAAAAAACTTCAAAAAAAATTTGGTTGCCTAAATAACTTCAACACTGGAGTAGTACTTGTTGAAAAGAAAATCATCAGATAATCAAAATGGGCTTCACCATTAGCCTTTTACCTCTAAAAACTAAAAAAATAAGGAAAATTAAAACACAATAGAAGCTGCAATTCAAGTGCTAGTGGAGTACCTTCAATGGCTATTCTAATAAGTAGTGTTTTGGAAATTAGTGCTAAAGGTTTACCTGAGATGTAACTTGGGATTAACATTGTGTTAGAAAGTATACTCAGCAGATTTCATTTCATGCTTTCATGTCATTGTGAACCCCTGAATGGTAGATTTTCCCTTTTACTTGTAAGAACAAAAAAAACACTTAAGAATAAAGTGGTAGTAGAACAAAAAACATGGACATAATGAAATGCTATGAAGACACTGAATGAATTATTAGAAGCTTACCAAGCACAAAACCTAAAAGAGAAAGGGTGGAGCAGCGTTGGATGGAGCATTGGAGCAGCAGTTTTGATTGATCTATCACTCCTCTCAAAGCACTGTAATTGCAACTTTTGGTTGAAGCCTCTTCATGATCGAAGCTTCATTCTATAAAAGTTTAACCATCAACAAACAATTCTATCTAAAAATATTAATATTAGGCTTAAAAACAAAGATACTGAAGAAGCTTAATTACCAAAGTGGCTATAATCATTGTCATTAATGACGATATGGATTATTCCAGCCATACAGTAAAAATTATGTGAAAAGTACAGTTAATTCATTCCTCTGTCTATAAAGAATGAAGTGCAAGGTAGTTCCAATTAACTTGATTACCTCAAATATGGTTGCTATACTCGAGGTACCGTTGTCCTAGCTGCTCTCCATTAATGGTCGTCCTCTGTCCACGGTCGTGACTCGCGAGTTCCAGGCATCCGTGGTGTCTCTAACCTTGTTCAATTTTGGGACCCAAAAATCTGGAAAATATGAAATTTTAGACCTAAAATTTGAAAATTTTAATCTACCTACAAAAGAAATTGTAAGAAAAATGAAGAAAAGGCCTACCCGATTTGCTGTTCTTTTAGATAGAAAATCAAACTGATATTTCAATTGAAGCTGTGTACATAGCAGGAGCGGCGAAACCCCAGCCATGGTTTCCGGCGAGCGGTGAGCAGAGATATTGCGAAGGAGGAGCGAAGACAAAGTCCCAGGGATGAAAGCACAGATCGAGTGTTTGCTAGATCTAAAGCCTAGGGCGAAACCATATGTGGTGGAGAATGAAAGGACAGACAGAATTTGCTCTCCCCAAGAGGCATTGGCTTCTCGGCTACGCTCTCTATTAATCAGACTCGGTTACTGTTCTTTTGTTCTTTTCATTTGGCGGGAATATGTACGGTTCATTCTTCCCTTTTAGCTTTGTATATACGGAGTAGATAGATAGATAGATGATATTGTATATGTACATTTCCTTCCTAATATATTTTGGCATTATTTATCGACATGATTGAGATTATATATGCATTTTAATTTCTATTTTAGGCTTAAAAATATGAAACTATTATTTTAATTTTTTTTTATTTTACCCATACTTTACTCTTTCTTGGGCTTCAAATCGTGGCAAGGATAAAAGAGAGATCTTACTTTCTTGACTAAATTAAGATAATACGGAGTAGTTCAATTCAACTTAATACTCCCTAAGACTTAAGGACCAGCGGAGGACTTGGGAGTGGGGAATTGGGGGATATAACCTTTTTTTTAAGTACGGAGTATGAAAAATGAAAATCAAACACGTTAGAAGCCCACTACTTTTGATATCCGTTTGTCTCATAAACTCACATAAATGGTGACTAGCATGGCACACACGTTGTGTGTGTGCCCAAATTCTTTGTATAATGTACTATGATTTTGTAGCATACACATAGTACTTTACGAGGAGTTTAGACATTGTTTTACAAAATTTGAAGTGATCACCTACACTTCATTTATGATATGTTGCAAATGTATAAGTTCTAACATAGGAACTGTTTTACAAAATTTGAAGTGCTCACATGCACTTCATTTATGAAATGTGGAGGATTCCTACCTTGTTGGGATACATATATGTTACAAGAGGGGTAGGAATACACATTTAAGTCAAAAAAAGTATCTAAGTTCTTGAAACATGGTTTAAGTTTTCTTTTTGTGGCTGTCCTCTTCAACCTTCAGCTTTCTCTTTAAAGTTGGAGTGCTTGTTTGCTTTTGAGAGAGGCTATAGAGGCTCAGTAGTGAGTAGATGTTTGATGTTTGTCTTTCGTAAGTGCTTGATGTTGGTTTGATGGCAGCGATAACTGTGAGTGTTTGGAGGGATTTGTTCAGATTTAGAGAATTGATTGCCTCCAGCAGTGTATTCCATTCTAGTGTCTTTAATATTTTTTGGAGTTCCTTGGTGAAGAGGGTGACCTGTAGAGTACCACTGCCATCACTTGTTTCATCTACAGCCCTAAACCTGCAAAGTTGTATAGTAAGAAAGTGTGTACATAATAAATGAAGTCGTTATGCACTGCGTGTTCATCATCATAATTACAGCGTTAGGAATTGAATTGCCTTAACTGACCACTGTATAATGTGAGGAAATTACATTCAGGTACACAAACTACATGTACACTAATCACCCTGTTCTTTTTACAACGTCATTCATCATCATAAATGAATGATTCTGTTGTCTGCTTTCCAACTATAGTTGATTGTGTACCTGAATCTTTGTATGCTTAAACAAAATGAAAAGGAGACAGAACTGAAGTACAATGTGAACCTGTTTGCAGTTGTTGCCTCTTTATCCCCACACTGCATGCATTTATAAGTAATCCCTTCTCTAAAGTGTACTTTCCGATTGCAGCTGCTGCATCCAATGTACAACGTTATTGGTTCATTTTCATCTTCAGTCACAAACATTTGATAGGAGTTTTAAAAAAATTTGAAGAAGTGTATTAAGAACCTGATTCGGTGTGTCCATGATGTCCGATGTGCTTGTCTTGTCAATATCTTCTGGACTTACGAAAACAGACAAAGGATCTTGAAATTGTTTTGTTTCTAAGGCATGCTTTATTGTGTCAGCATTTGAACATTTCCTGCATGGATTTTATTTTTTTATAAAAGAACTTTTAAAAAGTAATAAGGTGTAAGAAGAGTTAAATATGCTTATCATTCTTCAAGAGATGCTGCGAGAGAAATGATTGGGTTCAATTCAATTGAGTCATCGTGATTGGTTTGCATATGCATGAGCGGGCCCTTGTGAGTGGGGTGTGGAAGGTTAATGTAAGCAGGTAGTAGTTCAAGCTTTTACATATATTTGGACTTCTTAGACTCTATAATAAGTAAACTATATGTATTGAGTGTAAACAAATTTATTACATGTACCCAAAGTTAACCCGCATTAGCTTTATTACCCAAAGTACCCAAATTAAGGCCAACTTAATTACCATGCCCAGACCTTGGACTCAATTTCACATGAAAAACAATTTGGTGAATAAATGCAGGTACATGAAATGCCTTTAAACATCCTCATTTCAACCTAAATTAAGTACATAGATTTTTTTAAGGTCAAAATGAGTTGCCTTTGCCATGACTATAACCTTTTAACCTATGCATTGTTAGAAATGCACATGTCCTCTGCCAATTTCTTCTTGGTCATCTGAAAATCTAGCTACATCTCTAGAGTTTAAAGTACACACATTTTAGTATGAGGAGAGTATGTTGTTTTCATTTTAAAAGCTCATAATCTGTTTCAAAACGTCCTCGTTATGGTTTAGTTTCTTCTTGAAAATCAGCTTTAAGATCATATTCCTTACAAAAAACAGTCGCTAATATTTCACTTTTCCTCTAAAAATCAATGCAAATTCAGATTTCTTTTAAAAATCACTTGTCTCTTGGAAATTAGCAATAGGTTACATGGTTTGGAGAAGCAGGAGGGCAGCATGTGTCAGGGATGGCGAGGGCAGTTGAAATACTTGGCATACGAGCTTGTTTAAATGAGTTCATTATTGATTCAGGTGAGATAAAAGTATATATCATAAAGGAATGAAATGGAAGACCTTCATTAGTAGGGCAGTGTTGAGTAGTCGCGGAAGCGATGTTTTTTGCTCGACCACGTAATTCACGATATCTAAGCTGACGTCTGAAGTTTATTTTTTCACGCCGCCTCAGTGACTCATTGGCTTGATGAAGATCCAATTTCCATTGAATCTATAGGGACTTAAGAATATACGTGAGTATTAAGTAATGTTATGCATCATGTAACAAATATATGTTTACACCAAAATTAAGTTAACCGTATATTATTATTTGTGTGAAAATGTAGCTACCATTCTAGAGGTAGATACACACTCTGTTTACAGAACACATTTGAAGGAAGTCGAACAAGTACTTGATGACATGAACAAAGAGCAGTGTCCATCATATTAATTGGATTAACGAATTAGAGAAGTCATCTAAATTTGTAACGACATACAAGGTATTAACAAAGTGTTCATCATCATAATTACAGTTTATAATCAATGAATAATTTAAAGGAACAAATCTTCAAAGTGTGTTAACATACCAAGGAAGTCGAAGCAGAGCTTGATGAGAGTAGGAAATAACACGAATAGTGTTTTCTTACCTGTGTGAAGGGTTTAAAGTTAAAATTAGGAGATTTGAATTCATAAAGGACAACTGCTTTATTTATGATTTTTCTTTTATGAAGTAGCATATAATTCTAGAAATGCTATATGATGTTGTCTCAGAAAATAAAACATTTTTTCTACCTGACCAACCCTCGGGCGATGCAAATACAACAAGTACACAATCAATAAGATAAATGAAGTGACAATTAATAAAAAACAACCATTTGGAAAGCAAGAGCCATACATTTCATCTTTAATGCTAGTACCAAATGATGATGCTATGGCTTCAATTAGATTAATTTTTAACAAATTGGTTTTCACAATTTTTCAGGGTTATTTTAGTCATTGAAGAAAGCCGTAATAACTCTATCTACTGAATAACATTTTAAAAAAAACTCACTAAAACTATGTTTCCTAATGTACATTTTGATATTACCTCGCCTTGTGCCTATTGTTGTTTACCTTTCATGAATCTGTGGTTTGCCATCATAAAAATCTTTTATTTAGTTGAATATAATGATTCTGCTTTATTTTATTTATTTAATTGAATGATTCTACTCTATTTTCTTCATTTAATTGAATGATTCTGTTCTGTCTCCTTTTCATTTTGTTTGTTTTTCTTGAACCTGATTCATAAGGGGACTATTCATTTAATGAGTTTCTTTTTTCCTTGGTTTTCCTCTCTGTGATTGAAAGTTTCAATCTTTGCTTTTATGTTCTAACACAGATAGCTGTGAATTTATGTTCTAACACTAAAACTCCACCCTTAATAACAGAACATAACATCAAGTATTCATACAAAAGTCAGAATTTATAGTGTAAACATAGTGTAAACAATTTGCCTCAGAATTGACTTCAAAAGAATATGCCTATATAAATACACAAGTTAGAAAAGTCAAAGGAAACAAACTTAGAAAAATCAAAGGAATTTATATAGGTATCGAAAATCAGAAGTCATCAAAGTACAGATGTGCAGTAAGGAAAATTGCTACAAAAAACCTGAATATTATATATGCATGGGCCCCCTAAAAATTACAAAATCTTCAAAAAAATCAATATAATTTTTTAAAAAAGTCTAAACTAAATTTAGAACCTCATTGCATAGAAAAGTAGAACTGCTTTCTAAAAAAGCAACCTTACTAGAGGACAAAAAATCGCACTTATATAAACATTATTCACAAATAAACAACCTTCCAGAACTAAACATTCCACAATATAAAAAAATACAGCATATTTCACCAAACACATTACAGAAGCTTCCCATATGAAAGCAGTGGTATAAGAAGCCAACTAAGCAAACAAGCAAGGCAATCCATGGGAAGCAAGGTTGAAAAACACACTGACTCAGATCTTTGTTCATACAAAGATCTAGAATTGATAATCACATGCCTATATAAATAAACAATTTAGAGAAATTAAAGGAATTTATATGGGTACTAAAAATCTGAAATCATCAAAAGTACACAACTACACACTTATATGTGCCAAACTTAGAGAAATCAAAGGTACAGAAGTCCACACTTCTATTTGTCAACCTAGTAGATAAAATAAGCAAAAAATAGATGGGCAACTGCTAACTTTATACCAGTTACAAGAGTGAGCAAATCCATTTAAGTTATTTCCTAGACCAAATGTTAAAATTCTTAATTAACTATAGAGAGAGTAATGAAATAAACAAAATAAATGGGGTATGCAGTAAAAACAAAAAAAAATTAAAGAACACAATAAATGGAGATGAAAGGAAACCAGTGCTTAGGCCTCAAATTATAGAAGTGGGTGCAGTTTCAGTGGATTCCCAAATTTTCTAACACAGATAGCTGTGAATTTGAAGTCTAAAAAATTTGAATAGTCCGAAAATTTTTTAACACAGAAACCTGTGAATTTGAACTCTTAAAAATTGAATAAGTGTATTAAAATTTTGGGTGAATTTTGAAATGGGCTGAATTATAAAACCTTTGAACTTCTGGAAGAGAATGGATTTTGATTGGGTTTCTTTTTTTTCAGCCACAAAAAGCTGTGAATTTGAGGAGTCTGAAATTGGAAGTCCAGAACCGAAGATTGCGCAGCTTATGAAGATTATGAAGAAGGAGGGATATTCTGCGAAGTACCTAGAAATTGAAGAGGAAAATCGCCAAATTCTGCGGAGGAGGGAGATTGTGCAGATGACCAAAGTGAAGGAGAGAAATGAATTACGGAGTAAAACCTAAAGTGGGAATCGTGGGGCGGTGGCGGTGGGGGAAGTACGAGAACGAACGGCGGTGGCGGTGAAGGAAGCACGAGAAGACTGTGGGGAAAGAGAGAAATGGAAGGAAGAAAGGCGGTGACAGTGGGGAAGTGGTGACGTGGGTAAAGAGACGGAAAAAGAGCTAATTTAACGGAGGTAAACTTTGTTGGCTCTTATAATATAAGGGGGATTTAATTTTAAACTTTTAGTTTTATTACAGAGTAGCTTTTTTCATTTTTATAATTCAAATCTTTTATTTTTCTTAAAATATTAATGTTATTTTTATACGGAGTATTAAATTTATATACTAACAAATTCATATATTTTGTGCTTTGTTCGGAAAAAAGTTCATACCCTGAGTATTTGTTTTTACCGAGTAATTAGTAATCAGCATTTGATGTGTCTTATTTCATTGCAGCAAAGAAAAACCGAAATAGTAACTATTGTTTACATTTTGGGAAGGAGGGAGTAATTTCTTTATTTGGTTCTTGAAAATAAAATGTAAGAAAACATTATTTGATATTCAAAGGGGCCGTGAGTGAAGGTTGGAATAGACTATGGCATGGGGAGGGTGGGGGTAGTGGTGGCGACTGGCGAGGCTATACTCCCCCGTCTCATGTCTTTCTTTCTATTTTGATTTGTGGTCAATATTTTCAACTTTAACCACAAATTATAGAAAAATACTCCTTCCGTCCAAAAATAAACTTCTCGTTCATTATTCACAGAGTCAAACTTTATTCACCTTGTTGGCATATTTTCGTCACCCATTTGATAAAATAATATAATCATCACCTCTAGTTTTTTAGATCTTTTGATATAATTTTTTAATATGTAATTATTATTTTTAAATTTTACACCATTTTTCATATAAAATAATTTATAAATAACTCCAATCAAACATCGAAACGCGCAACGGAAAGTGTATTTGTGGACGGAGGGAGTATTGAACTAAAGGGTAACTAGGTAAGGGCAGGAAGTAAGGAGCATATAGATTTAAGAAATGATGAATGAGTCCACCAATGTCCTCCAAGAAAGATTAAAAAACCTCACCTCCCTCACACAGAGACACATACAACTCACAGTTACCAAACCCAAAGAAAGAAAGAAAGAAAAAAGTGCATAAGAGTACAGAAACAACAAATGGCCACAGAATCAAGAGCCTGCAGGAGTTTAGTCAATCAATCAATCAACATCAGGGGTTTCAACTTCGGATTTCTCCTGTTCGGCTTCCTGCACTTCCTTCTCCGTCTTCCTTCCCTTCTTGCACTTGTAGTACACCCCCATGAACGTCCCTATGTGTTGGCGACAGAAGAAGGAAGCTAGATCAAAGAAGGAAACTGAATCCCTTTGGGATTCGGTTTAGTATCTTTCCTAGTTTGCTTAGTTCTTGTTATAGTAGGAATAGAAATATGGTAGGAATAGAAGTTTACTTAAATGCTTTACTCTGTTCTTATATAAAGGGGGTTAGACCTTTGTAAGCACAAGCCAGTTGAATATACAGAATATTTTCCCTCTTATTAATTTCTACATGGTATCAAAGCAAGTTTTGAATTCTTGAGACCTCAAACACGCTTCTTCCCCCTGCCGGTGGGCATACAAAATTCAATGCCTACCGGCGGGATATTGTAATTTTTGATTTTCTTTGATTGTTCTCCCTCACTAAAGAATATCATGAACTCCTTCAACGAAAAACATTGCTGTCGAGGAATCCCGCCCAACCATCAATCTTGAAGAAGTTGTCCGAGAAGGGTTGTTNNNAATTCAATGCCTACCGGCGGGATATTGTAATTTTTGATTTTCTTTGATTGTTCTCCCTCACTAAAGAATATCATGAACTCCTTCAACGAAAAACATTGCTGTCGAGGAATCCCGCCCAACCATCAATCTTGAAGAAGTTGTCCGAGAAGGGTTGTTTTACAGAGACAGACAACTCTTTCCTTAGCAGGCAATAAAAAAAAGTCGGCGTTCAGGGTGTTCGAAAAGAATGGCGTTCCCCCTGTTTGTTCGAATACGGTGAAGGTTCGAAAAGAATGGCGTTCCTTTACTCGACTAATTATTCGGCGGATTCGAAAAGCTTGGCGTCTCCGTTGAAGAAAAAAACTGAAGTGTCTAGATTACACTTGGACAACGATGGCAGCGGCTTCCTCAAGCTTTGTTGCTTTGTTCAATCTTTTGATGTCCAAGCTATGCATGTTGAACTCTCATGCTCCAGCTTGAGGGGGGGTGTTGGCGACAGAAGAAGGAAGCTAGATCAAAGAAGGAAACTGAATCCCTTTGGGATTCGGTTTAGTATCTTTCCTAGTTTGCTTAGTTCTTGTTATAGTAGGAATAGAAATATGGTAGGAATAAAAGTTACTTAAATGCTTTACTCTGTTCTTATATAAAGGGGGTTAGACCTTTGTAAGCACAAGCCAGTTGAATATACAGAATATTTTCCCTCTTATTAAATTTCTACACTATGGCTTTATACTTCCTCCTGCAATGCTCGTAGAGCCCGCCATCAAACATCCTCCAGAAGCTCTTCTCTGACAGCTCCGACACGGCGTACTGCGGCTGGAACCCGTGGTTCTCAATCAGCCAATCCTCCATTCGCCGAACTGCCAATGACCCGTCAAAGATTTCCCCCCTGAGGACAGAGCCAGGCGCGTAGTACACCCCAACATCTGTGTACATCTGAGCGTAGCTCGTGTCTCCCTGCCTCCTGTGCAGCTCAAATCCTGGTTCCGGGTACACCATGGTTTTCACTGGCAGCCTGTAAAGCCTGTGTGGGCATAGCCAAATTGGGTATACCTGATTTTTCCAGGAAGAAGGAAGAAGTATGAAATGAGTAACCGAAAACAGATAAAGAAACGGAGTAAAGTTTGACGAGTTGATTTGGTCCATGTAAGTTTGGTTGAGTCAAATTAGTCTCTATAACTAAAAAATGTGAATCAAGTCGGTCATTCAAACAAAATTTATCTACTAAAATTCTGAGTTATCACGTTAATTGATGCAAGAGCAATGACCCCGTGTATTTGTTTATGTGTCAATTAACGTGATAGCTTAGAATTTTAGTAGATAAATTTTGCATAAAGGACTAATTTGATTCGCATTTACTAGTTACAGGGACTAATTTGACTCGTGAACTCACAGGGACTATTAACTCTACCCCTCCGTACCAAACACTTTCCTGTTTCGAACAATGAGCGAAATCACATCTATCTTAAAATGATTTTATTATAAATTGATATTGAAATAAAAAGTACAACTTGCATATTAAAAACTACATCAAAAGTTCTACAAAACAAATCGTACCAAGAATATGTTATCAGAAGCCTGGGAAAGTAAAGAGGAGAAGTTTTTTTTGGGAAGGAGTAATATAAGAAAAATGAATGGGTACCTCCATTTCGCGATGAACCCACTCGAGAGCATCTCCAACCTTGTACAGAGGAACAAGCATATCCTGGATGACATGATTGTCATGGTAAAAGTTCCTAATGGCCTCTCCTTGAGTAGCCTTCAGTAGAGAAACTTTGGGGGGCATCAACCACCCAAGAAGATACCGAAACCACCACTGATCGGCAAAGGGGAGGATGAGCTTGCCTTCCCAGTACAAACACCTTGTGTGCCTGTGGTAATATTCCCTGGTCGGAATGTATTCCACAAACTCCCCTTTCTTGAGTGCCGTCTGCGCGTGCTGGTAAAACCATGGCTTGAACCACCAACCAATATTGTTGATCTTATTCCCCTTCTGTTTTGCCTCTTCTTTAGATGCGTACCTACCGGTCATGCAAACAGCTTCTCTGGGAGTGTATATCATGGTTTCCACGAAGTCTGGAACCTTAGCTGGGTTGTCTTGGTCTCCATCTCTAGGTGCAAATGAGTCTATGTATGCCTGTGCGATCTCCCTAAGGGTACCGACCACGGGTTTGTAGGTCACTTTCATGTACTCCTTGATCGGTATTAGCTTAATCTCAGCCGAAACGAGAAGCCCTAGGGTACCCTGAGACCAAGGAATGGCATAGAAAAGGTCAGAGTAGTCATTGTCCTTTGTAGCCCTGACAACCTCCCCGTCAGCTAGAATGATCTCATACGCTACAACAGTGTCAGAAAACAATCCGTACAAGTGTGAACTACCCTCTATGCCGTAGCCGTTGATCAGCCCTCCAACCGTAAGGTCATCCAGCTCCGCAACAACCGCAAGGGACACGTTCAATGGGACCGTGGCCCTACTTATCTGGCCCATGTTGACCAAAGGTTCAACCTTGGCAACCATTTTCTCTGTGTCAATGTCTAGAATGTTCCGGAACGAGGATAGATCGACCTCGAAATGGCGGGCCCGCTTGTAATCCACGTTCCGCATTCCGACAGCAACCCACGGTTTTCGGGCCGTGCAGACAAGGCCGTCCTTGGACGCGTTTCTTTCTTTCAGACGCTTCACGACCTTCTTGACATTCTCCTCGTGATCCTTCTGGCGGCGTTTGAAGGATTTGAGGTTCGATTTCACGTCGCCGAGGTAGATGGCAAAGTAGTACATGAAGGATACTGGGAGGACAAAAAAGATAACGACAATCCATCTGAACTGCACAAGGAAGTCCACCATACCCTTCTTCCTCTTGGGGCGAAGGGGAGCCTCGAGGTCTGACATTGTTGGGTATGGGGACGCCGGACGCACTGCACATTAACGGCAACACCAAAGTGTGTGTCATTTGAAAGGTTATTGTACAAAGTATGGCACATTTTTTAATACTATTAACTTTATTAAAGAGCAGTATCTGTCCAAGCCAAAATCCCCTGTGGGTTTCGAGTGTGACCTCTCATTAGGAGAGTCTCAGCCAAAATCCCTCGTGGGTTTCGAATGTGACCTCTCATTAGAGTCACGGTTATGCCGTTTGCCCACAAGATCTTTGGCCGTTCAGACACGTTAATTAAGAAAACTTAGTAGAATACTCCATCCATCCCCCGAAACAATTTCTTAATTTCCTTTTTCCGGAAGTCCCAAAAACAAAATCTTATTTCCTTCTCGTTTCCAAAAAAAATCTCATTTCCTTAGATCACAACCTCACAATTTCAAGTAGCATTCTACAGCAATATTTGAACATAACCAGTAATTTTTAAAACATAAACAGCATTAGTTGGAATTAGATTCTGCATTCAAGGTTTAAGAGAACAAAAATCAAAATGAATGAGTGGTCACAAACATGAGGAAAAAGGAGGAACAAATTCTTCTTCACTTAGTCAATTTATGGTCAAAACATGTTCAGATCTGGTGGAAACATGGGTCAAAAATGGATGAATGAATGAGTCACATTCCACCATTAATGCAGGCAGAAGCTAGACAAGCATAAACTGGGATAGATTAGCAGATGCCCATACCATCTAACAGGAGTGGATTTAAATAAAGGTTTTTAAAATTAAATAAAAACAACTTTATGCAGATATAAAGGTTCTAACTCAAGTGTGTTAAATTCATTTATACACCACACTTACATTATTGTTGTCTGTGCAAGGAAAAGTATAGTTCGAATCAATTGAGACTGGAATAGTATACCACTGAAAATTAGAAAGAAAGTACAGTAAAAAACAAAAAAAAAAATCCCTTTTTTCTCAGTCCAGCTTTTGTTCAAAGTAAGTCCAGATCTGGTGGAAGTATGGGTCATAGAAAACCCAAACTCCATAAATATGCAGGCAGGCAGAGGCTACACAAAAGCATAAACATAGATCTAAACATCCAAAAAAAATTAATTATCCAAAAAAGGGAAAACAGATTAGCAGCAGATCTTCTTTTATCCCCCCACCCACCCACCCATGCAAAAGCAGAGAAATGGAAGCAAAATGGAGAGCTTTTGGTAAGGATGTGTGATTGGGGAAGCGAGTGTAGTACTGTACCTAACTGGGCAGTAGAGTGGACCGCCTAGTGTGGAGAAAGAAAGAAGATCCAAAGACAGCATATGCTGAAATGACTCACTCATGTGAGTTATTTTTATAGTGTCTCCGTCCTAATTTATTTCCAATTTAAAATGCAGAAAATTGGCTTGGAGTACCCTCAATTTTCTAGTAATGACTCTTAGGTTCTAAATTATTTGAAATATAATTCCAATTATTAATTTTTTTGGTAAGAACTCTCAGGTCCCACATTATAGAAATATATTACGGGGTCCTTAAAATTAGTAGTAATGTACTCTTTGGGTATATTTTGTCTATTTGACCGTTAGGATTGAAAATTTTTGTACTCTCACAAATACTAAATTTTAACTTCATAATCATTATTTTATTAGATTTAAATAAAACTCTTCAATTTCTCAAAGTTAAAGAACTTTCAATCCTAACGCCTAAATGGACGGAATGTACCCCCAAAGTATAATATTATAAATTTTACATAATGCGCGACCTAAGAGTTTTTATCAAAAAATTGAAGATACCCCAGAGTATATTTCAGATAATGTGGGACCTGAGAGTCATTACCAGAAAATCGAAGATACCCAAGAGTAATTTTCTGATTTAAAATGTACGAGATTTGACTAAAATTATTTTTTATTTGAAACTTGTATAGAATTATAAAATAAAATTTATATATTTATAATTAAATAAAAAATTATATAAAACAAAAGGTGACAAGATTATATTATTTTCTCAAATAAGTAGCGAAATTGGATTAAAAAACGTTGTTAAAATTTGACCTTATTAATAATAAAGAGATTGATCAATTGTTAAATAAAATATTTTTATCACCACTCTTTTGTACTTCCTCCGTCCCAATTTAAGTTGCATCTTTACCATTCACGGGGTTAAACTTTAATTGCTATCTTTACTCATTTTCATTACTTATTTCATAAAATAATATAGTCACATCCCCTCTTGTTTTCAAAAACTTTTGATGTGATTTTTAAATATATAAACTTCATTTTTTAATTCTACCCCAATTTTCATATAAATCAATTTGAAAATGACTTTAGTCAAATATCGTAAATAACAACAGACAACTTAAAATGAGACAGAGAGAGTAGAATTTTGGAAATAAGACTAAAGTAGTAGTAAAACATAAAAAATATACCAAAGTATGAGTTCCATTTTTTTATTCCTAAAATAAGAGTTAAAATGCATATACAATGTCAATGATGTCAATGTATCTACTATCCATACTTTAATTAAAAAGACATGGAGTCAATATTGTGTTTTCCCGCCCAAAGAGTATGGTCATTACATATGGTAATGTCATTACATATGGTAATGTGTCCGAAATTATAATAATATAAAATTTACGTTTTATAATTATAATTATTATATTATATTTATAATAATTAACTGTCATTTTTAAAGTGTCCGAAATTTATACTAGCAAGAAAGGTAAGTTATAAAAAATATTTATAAAATAAGAAAAAATTATATATAAAAATTATTTATAAACTTTAATACACGCCAATCAATGCTATTAAAAACGTGTGTATGATTATTCTTACCATAATTGTATAATTATATGATTACCATGTGTCTAGGTTATATAAAAAACGTGTGTATGATTATAGTAAAATATAATTATGGTAAAAATAATTATACACACAGTTTTGAAAAACAATTAATATCGTAAAACCCTTTATATGTGTGTGTGTGTGTGTGTGTGTGTGTTTAATAGCAATAAAGGTAATAACCAAAAAATGTAATAATTATTACTTCGTGCAACTATTAGCTACATAAATGGTAAGTGTCCGAAATTATAGTATCCATTTTTAACCCGTGCACGAAGTATGGCCATTACATATGGCAATTGCAAAATTAAATGGTAAGTGTCCAAAATTATAGTAATATAAAATGGTAATTGTAAAGTTAATATAATTATTAATTTTATAAGCACGGTAAAAATTTATTCTTATAAGTGTCCAAAATTATGATATTAAGCGCGCTATTAATGAAATCTAATTAATTACCGTGTCAAATTAATTATAGTAATTTTAATTATAGTAATTTTAATTAAAATTATATATTACATGTGATTACCGTGTCAAATTAATTAGTAATTAAATTTTAATTATCATGTCAAATTAAGTATAGTAATTTTAATTATAGTAATTTTATAATAGTAATTTTATAATTGCTATATTTTAATTATAGTCTCTATATTTTATAATGGCTATATTTTACTATATTCTAATTATATTAATTTTAATCAAAAAAGGTAATAATTAACAAAGGTATTAATTATATAATCGTGTGACTACATAGTTGTATACTCCGTATTAATTACCTTGTCATTTTAATTATAGTAATTTTAATTATAATAATTTTAAATATAATAATTTAAATATAGTAATAGTAATTGTTAAGTATTTAAAGATGGTAAGAAATTAAAGTTTCCGAAATTATAGTAATATAAAATGGATTATAACTACTGTAAGAATTAAATATCCTTTAAATATATATATTTATGTTTAATAGAAAGAAAGGTAATAACCAAGAAAGGTAATAATTAACTTTTAATTTTAAAGTGTCCGAAATTATACTAGCAAGAAAGGTAATAATCAAAAAAGGTAATAATTGACCACGGTATTAATTATATAACTGTGTGTTTACATAATTGTATATCAATTACCGTGTCAAATTAATTATAGTAATTTTAATTATAGTAATTTTATAATAGTAATTTTATAATGGCTATATTTTACTATATTTTAATTATAGTAATTTTAATCAAAAAAGGTAATAATTAACCAAGGTATTAATTATATAACCGTGTGACTGGATAATTGTATACTCAGTATTAATTACCGTGTCATTTTAATTATAGTAATTTTAATTATATTAATTTTAAATATAATAAATTAAATAATTTAAATATAGTAAAAGTAATTTAAATTCGTTATAGCACTTTGAAAAATGAATAATTTTTTTAACCTCGTATGCAAAAATCATATTATAAATACATCTATTTACAAAGTTTTCATATTCATTACAATCATCCTGGATTTTTCCCCCCTACGTTTCAAAACTCTCATTCCTACGAAAAATGAGGATCTTAATTGCTTTGAAAAATGTTGATAAACGGTCATCAATGTTATGATGAAGCTACGAGCAATTAGGGTTTACCACAGGTTTCCGTAACAATAATCCAACATGCTTTAGTCATGGACAACTCTATGTTGCAGTTTCAAGAGTAACTAATCGTAGTGGGTTGAAGATTCTTATATGCAATAAAGACAATATTCCCACAAATTGTACAAATAATGTAGTCTATAAAGAAGTTTTTCGAAATTTGTAAAGCAGTGATGTTTTGTACTTTGAAATAATATAATCTCTATAATCTATTGCATCTCATTTTTTATCATTGAAAAAAGATTTTGATAATTTTCCGGCGATAATTACTCCCAGCTCCGGCGACCTCAAGTTCTCCGGACAGCACCATTGCTCGCCTCACTCTCTCAAGAACAGAATAGAAGGAATAATGGAGAGAATTGGTGAGGAATTGAGGGAGGGGAGGCATGCTTATATAGTGGAAAGAGGAAGAAGAAAACAATTTTTTGTCATTCACGATCGTGGGAGGGCGGCTCAGTTATTCTCACGACTCTTCCATGATTGGGACTAATTTGGTCCCAGTTGGGGTACACTTTTACGTACAACTTTCTCCGAATTAAATTCCGTTTGCATCGTTGTGATCAGACATTTAAACTCTATCCAACGATATAATTTTTATATTTATTTGTAATACTTTTTCTGACATCATATATTTGGGTGTTTGACTTTGACAGAATCAAAATTGATTTAGTTGGCCTTTATTCAAAAAGGTTCTCTCATCCAATTCATAATATTTATTCTTATGATTTATTTCAATAAATCATTTCAAAGTTCACATCATAAACAATTTCTTTATTTCTTAATTTGGGTCTGTACTTTGGTTCCCAATCAAGACCACACAAATAGTCAACATATTAGATTTGTCTCTATGAGATTTATCCTAATTGTAATATTGGATATCAAAACATATTTCATATCGGCCCAATGTCTAATAATAATTTATTTTAATCAAAACAAATTTTTTTAATTGAATACTTAAAAATTCAATAAATTTTAGGCTATGTTTCGGAGCGTTACAAGCAGAGCCTTTATTTCACAAATCGGCTATGGAGAGTAGGAGATCTCCATTGATATTAATATTTACTGGTGAGTGGGAAGATATGCAATTTCCTCTAGTATTGGCGAGGTTAGGTCCGAGCAGATCTGCTGAAGAAGAAATTAGATAGCTGATAGTCGGCGACGACTAGAGACGAAACTAGAGGCGAAGGCTTGGGAGGCGAACAGAACTTGGAGACAAAGACGGAGCACACAAGCTACATGAAATTGGGAAAAAAACACGCAGTGACGGAGACTTGAGCCCGGCAGGAACATGAGGTGAAATCACAGGCGCGACGGTGAAGCCGAAAGCCTAAAAAGGAGAAAACCTAGAGTTTCAATACCATATTGAGATATTGAAACAACTATACTATTCAAGAGATAATAGATTACATGGTAGTGTATATATAGAAGGGGAATACAGCCCCAACTAGGACTAGGAACAAAAGTAGTAGTTGACTAATAACATAATAAAGACTATTACTACAATAACTAGAATTAGTATTATTGTCTAACAAGGTGATTATCATTGAAAAAACGAGTTCTAAACAGCCACCGTTATATTCTAGAAAGATCATAAACTTTACTCTGTAGTACAAAATTTATATGATAATGTAAATAGAGATAAAAAGATTTCAAGATTAGTACCGCAATACCCACCACGGTAGAAAGGAGAGCCGGGAAACTCGGGGAAGAGATCTTCAAACAAAGGGCATCTTACCCACACTTTTGAAGAAGACAAAGCAATGACTCCTTCCATTTCTGAACTGTCTGTCATCTTCCTTAGAAAGAGAGCAAAATAATGGAAATTGGGTGTTAATTTTGATGGGGAACAATTA